CAAAACCTGCAGACCTCTCCACTGCTACAATGATGAACACCTCCCACAACGAACCTTGGATCCTACACAGGCCTATCATAATGTGGTATACCTCATCTAATGCATTAAATGCCCCAATAACAATGTGGATGAAACCAGACAAATCTATGCTCTTGAATGAACTCTTGCAGGAAATTTATAAAAGAGGAAAAACATCCCATCACCTGTAGCTGAAGATAAGAACAGCCATACTGGATCAGACCATCTAGCCCAATATCCTGTCTTCTGAAGCATGTGGCATTGGCCATTGTCAGAAGAAATGAATAGAACAGGCAATCATTTGTGTGATTCATTCCCTGTCCTGTCCGCTCCCGGCAAAGAAAAGCTGGGGACAATCAGAGTATGGTGTTGCATCCCTGACCATCCTGGCTAATAGCTGTTGATGGTCCTATCCTCCAGGAACTTATCCAGTTCTTTTTTGAACCCTGTTATAGTTTTGGCCTTCACAACATCTCCTGGCAACAAGTTCCACAGGTTGACTCTGCGTTGTATAAAGAAGTACTTCCATTTGTTTTAAACCTGCTGCCTATTAATTTCACTGGGTGACCCCCCTAGTTCTTGTTATGTAAGGGGGTAAATAACATTTCCTTATTCACTTCCTTCATACCAATTGAGATTTTATAGACCTCCATTATATCCCCTCTTAGTGATCACCTTTCCAAGTTGAAAAGTCCCAGTTTTTTAATCTCTTCTCATATGGAAAGTCTTCCATATTCCTAATCATTTTTGTAGCCCTTCTCTGAATCTTTTCCAGTTCTAATATATATATCTTTTTTGAGATGGGACAGCCAGATCTGCACGCAATATTCAAGATATGGGTGTACCATGGATTTTTATAAAGGCATTATGACAGACAGAAAATATCTATTCTTTTTCTAATGGTTCGTAACATTGTTAGCTTTTTTGACTGCTCCTGCACATTGAGCAGATGTGTTCAGAGAACTATCCACAATGACTCAAGACCCTTTTTTGGGTGGTAACAGCTAATTTAGACCATTTTGTACGTATAGTTGGGATTGTTTTCCAATGTGTTACTTGACATTTGAATGTCACCTGCCATTTTGTTGCCCTGTCACCCAGTTTTGTGCGATCCTTTTGTAACTCTTCAGTCTGCTTTGGACTTTACAGAATGACTCAAGATAGTTGTCTGTCTGCAATTTTTGCCATTTTGCTGTTTACCCCCTTTTCCAGATTATTTATGAATATGTTGAACAGCACTGGTCCCAGTACAAATCACTGAGGAGACACTGAAAATTGACCATTTATTCCTGCCCTTTTGTTTTCTGTCTTTTATCCAGTTACTGATCTATGAGAGGATCTTCCCTCTTTTCCTATGACTGCTTACTTTGCTTAAGAACTTTGGTGAGGGACCTTGTCAAAGGCTTTCTGAAACTCCAAGTACACTAAATACACTGGATCACTCTTTTCCACTTGTTTATTTGACCCCCTCAAAAAATTCTAATAGATTGGTGAGGCATGATTTCCCTTTACAAAGCCATGTTGACTCTTCCCCAACACATTGTATTCCATCTGTCTGATAATTCTGTTCTTTCTTTACTATAGTTTCAACCAATTTGCCTGGTACTGAAGTTAGGCTTACTGGCCTGTAATTGCCAGGGATTGCCTCTGGAGCCTTTTAAAAAAATTGGCATCGTAATAGCTATCCTTTAGTCATCTGGTACAGAATGTGATTTAAGTGACAGGTTACGTACCAAAGTTAGTAGTTCTGCAATTTCACACGGTAAGGTATTTCCAGCAGAGAGAGGGGGGAGTATTACCATTATAGAAGGCACTGGTGAGACCTCATCTGGAATACTGTGTGCTTGTTTAAAAAAAGATTAATTCAAACTGGAACAGGTGCAGAGAAGGGCTACCAGGATGATCGGAAGAATGCAGAACTTACCTTATTAGAGGAGATTTAAGGAGCTTGGCTTGTTTAATCTAATCAAAAGAAAACTGAGGGAGATATGATTGCTCTCTAAAAATACATCCGAGGGATAAATACCAGGGAAGGAGAGGAGCTATTTAAGTTTAAGGGCCAATGTTGGTACAAGAACAAATGGATATAAACTGGTTATCAACAAGGTTATGCTTGAAATTAGACAAAAGTTTCTGACCATCAGAGGAGTGAAGTTCTGGAACAGCTTTCCAAGGGGAGCAGTGGGGACAAAAAAACCTAACTGGTTTCAAGACTGAGCTCGATAAGCTTATGCAGGGGATGGTATGATGGGACTCCCCACAATGGCATGTGAATCATCTGCAACTGTTAGTAGCACATATATTTTCAGTGGCCAGAGATGGGACACTAGATGGGAACGGCTCTGAATTACTACAGAGAATTCTTGCCCAGATGTCTGTCTGGTGGGTCTCACCCACATGCTTGGGGCCTAACTAATTCCCGTATCTGAGATCAGGATGGAATTTTCCCCAGGTCAGATTGGCAGAAACCTTGGGGGCAGGGGGTTGCCTTCTTCTAGAGTGAGGGTTCACCTGCTGGTTTGAACTTGAGTAAATGGTGGATTCTCTGTAACTTGCAGTCCTTAAATCATGATTTGAGGACTTCAGTAATTCAGCCAGAGGCTATGGGCATATTGCAGGAGTAGATGGGTGAGGTTCTGTGGCCTGCAATATGCAGGAGGTCAGACTAAGGCCAGAAGGGACCATCTTGATCATCTAAAGTCTATGAATCTGAGTGGCTGTTTGAATAGAAAGAAGTCTTCTGTTTGTACTCTTATAGCACAAGGTGTACAAAGCTGTACTTCTATAAAACATCTGAGGTACCTAACCTGGATATTGACTATCTTATCACACTAGATTGAATTTGTCTTCTAATGTACAGTGGGTTTAGGATCTAATATAAGTCATCTTATATATGGGTCCCTTTTTAAAAAGGAGACTTGGATCAAAAAGAAATGCAAGAACTTTTTCATTTTGAAGCATTTATACTGATAGAAGTAAAACCTGTCAGTGTGTAATTCCTTGCACAGTAACATGCTGCACTTCAGATGCTGCATAGTTTTCAAGGGTAATCCTTTTCCAGTAAGGATAGCAGCTCCCCTAGCAATCCTATAAGAGTCAAGTAAACTTATTCTATCCACCCACTTTAAGGCCATGTCTGCACTACAGTGGCACAAGTATGATGTACTGTAGATGCTTCCTACTTTGACAGAAGAGGGTTTTTCTGTCAATATAGGTAATCCACCTCTCCAAGAGACAGTGCTAGCTCGACAGAAGTGTTCTTCCATCAACCTAGTTGGATTTAGTGAGGTTAAGGTCGACCTAACTCTGTCATACAGGGAGTGAAATTTTTCAGACTTGTAACTAGGTTGGCCTAACTGTATCTGGAGGCATACCCTTCAGGTAAGCTAGTGCTTTCTTTTCGGGAGGAGTTGTTCATTTATGAAGATGTTTTAAAAAAAAAAAAGTGAACGGTACAGAGTTTAAGCATAGAAGTTTCTGGTTATCAGGGAATAACGTACAGATTACCAAGGGTGCAAAGTTTGGTTTAAGATCGGGTGGCATAAGGAATACATAATCCCCAATATCCCTGATTGGGGGTAAAAGGTTGATGGGTCAAAGTACAGGCATTGAGATATGAGGGTATGAAGTTCATAAAGTGGCTGTTTGGGTGTGGAGTATGAGTGGATATGATGAGGATGGATTGACCCTCATTTGTGAGATTTAATGTTCAGGGAGTTTATGGTTCCAGTTCATATGATCCAACGGAGAAAGTCTCTTGGTCCCTTTCTCGTAGTCTAAGAATGTCACTCTGGCTCACGCCTCCTTGTACTGTTGGTGGCTGGTGATGTGCTCGATGTAGAATTCATGATTGTCATGCATTATATCTTAACTTTAAGCCACATCTTGTATCCTTATTTTAGCCAGGCTTTGGTACTAGCCCCAGTCCCCTACTTTGGGTATTTTCAGCTTTCCATCCCTTCTCCTTTCCCTTCTTCCCCACCTCAAAGTATTGATGCTATAGAATGGGTCAAGTTAAACTCTTGTTTTTCTTGCACGTTGGCCAGATTCCAACCCCACAGAGAGCCTTTCCCAACCCTCCCCACACACCCCTGACTCCTTGCCCCACAGGTAACTTGCTAAGTAAATATCCCTAGTTGTGAAACTCTGCCCGTTTTTGTCTCTAAGATCTCGGACTTCAGCAGAAAACTCACAAGAGCCTGAAATGACAGTTGGGCAGAAAAATGAAGGGGTAAGGTTGGAAGCTCCAGCTTTTTTCCTCTTTTGAAAAATGTGATGTCCTATAACTAAACTGTACATTCAACCCTAACTGTGCACTTCCATACTTGAGCATATCATTGAATAATGTGCTTAACCCAGTGGCATATGGCTTTTGTGAGAATGCGGTCTTTGAGACTTACAGAGTATAGTGATGGTGGAAGACCCCTTGTGATTCTGGGCTCTGGTCAGTATGCTGCATCTGCTCAATTTCTCTTCTGTCCATCTTGGAATTTGATGGGCAAGCCCTCAAACATGTAATATTTATTGGTGTTTATCCACATCACTATAGGATACACTATTGCATCATCAGTCCTTTCTGAATAGAATTTGCTTTACTTGCATTTTTCCCCTGATTCTTGTCTCTGAGATTTGGCTTGGTGCCACAGTTAAATTTCCAGATTGTAAATCAGGTAAACCTTTTTTCTAACTACTAAGATTCTTTCAAGGTTGCTGCATTTTTAACTACATTTTACTTTTTATTTTTCTAAACTAGAAATACAATACCACTCTGCTTTATACATAGTTGTTTATGTTCACTTGTATTTCGCTTGCTGCACGGGAGGGAAGATGGGTGTGTCTAAAATCTATTTTTTAAATAGGCTAAGCTGGGATATCAGGAAAACTTACACTATCTAAAACTTAGAGAAGTACCAAGCTTGGATACAAAACTGTCTTTGTCAAATATCCAGCCCATGTGGGATACTTTTTTTTTAAAACCAAAAAACCAAACCAACTTTGTAGCCCTCTACAGTGGCAAAGAACCTCCCAAACATAAACTGTTGCTATAGATCTCCACTGTAGTAGACTTTTGATAGTCTCATATGACCTTCTCATAAACAAACTAGAGAAATATAGCCTAGAGATGAATCTTCTAAAGGTGGGTGCACAACTGGTTGAAAAACTGTACTCTGAATAGTTACCAATGGCTCACAGTCAAGCTGGAAGAACATATTGAGTGGGTTCTTGCAGGGATCTATCCTGGGTCCAGTTCTGTTCATTATCTTCATAAATGATTTGGATAATGGCAGAGAGTACACTTTTATAAAATTTGCAGACAATACCAAGTTGGGAGGGGTTGGAAGTGCTCTGAAGGACAGGATTAGAATTCAAAATGATCTTGGCAAACTAGAGAAATGGTCTAGGATGAAATTGAATTAGGACAAATGCACAGTACTGTGCTTAGGAAGGAATAATCAATTGCACAAATACAAAATGGAAAACGACTGCCTAGGAAGAAGTATTGCAGAAAAGGCTTTGAGGGTAATGGGGGATCACAAACTAAGAGTCAACTACATAATACTTTTGTGAAAAAACACCCAATTATTCTGAAATATATTATCAGGAGTGTTGTAAGCAAGACACAAGTAATTCTGCTGTACTCAGCACTGATAAGGCCTCAGTCGGAGTACTGTGTCCAGTTTTGGCACCATGCTTTGGGAAGTGTGGAAACTCCAGAGGCGAGCAACAAAAATGATTAAAGTCTAGGAAACATGACCTACAAGGGAAGATTGGAAAAATTTGGTTTGTTTAATCTGGAGAAGAGCAGACATAACAGAAACATATTCTTCAACTATGTAGAAGGTTGTTATAAAGAGGAGGGTGATAAATGGTTCTCTGTATCCATTGAGGACAGGACAAGAAGTAATGGTCTTAAATTGCAGCAAGAGAGATTTGTTGGACATTAGGAAAAACTTCCAAACTTTAAGGTAACGGTAGTTAAGCACCAGAACAAATTTACCTAGGGAGAATGTGATATCCATCATTAGAGGTTTTTAAGAACCGGTTAGACAAACACCTGTCAGATGAATACTTAATCCTGCTTCAGAGGAGGGGACTGGACTAGAATGACCTATTGAGGTCCCTTCCACTCATACATTTCTGTGATTGTCTTCCTGAGTCTGAAAGTGGCCTGAAACACTTTCCTCTCACCCACTTAACTGCAGTGGGTTAACACTAAATCCTAACAACTTCTTCATCTGAAGAAGTGAGGATTTTACCCACGAAAGCTTATGCCCAAATAAATCTGTTAGCCTTTAAGGTGCCACCAGACTCCTTGTTGTTTTTGTAGATACAGACTAACATGGCTACCCCCTGATACTTAATTTTAGTCTAAAGCAGTGGTTCTCAATCTGTAGGTCAGGACCCCAAAGTGAGTCGCAGCCCTGTTTAATGGGGTAGCCAGGGCTGGCTTAGACTTCGCTGGCGCCTGGGGCCGAAACCTAAGCCCGAGCCCCACTATCTGGGGCTTCAGCCTTGGGCGGTGGGGCTGAAATTGCAGGCCCCCTGCCTGGGGCTGAAGCCCTTGGGCTTCAGCTTCTCCTTCTCCTTTCCCCTCCCCCGCCCTCCAGGTGGCAGGGATCAGGTGGGCTCAGGCTTCGGTCCCCCTTCCGGGGGTCGTATAGTAACTTTTGTTGTCAGAAGGGAGTCGTGGTGCCATGAAGTGTGAGAACCCCTGGTCTAAAGCATTTGAAAATTGGCACATTTAATGGAAGTGTGCTCAATCCTAGCAATACCTCGCCTGACTCCGAATGAGAGCTAGACTGAGTGTTTAATTCGATAAGTATGGAATCTGACGGTCAGGAGTATTTGCTGAGTGCTTTCATTTGATATTTGAATAAGACTCACATTATGCACTGCAACAAATCATAACTTCCTGTTTAAATGCTATTGAGCTTCCTTTTGTATAACAGAGATGGCTGGAGGCTGACCTGTCAAAGGAGGTGTCAGTTCGGTTATGTCTGGGCAGTAGGAGCTCTGCTGTAGCCAGAAGGCCAACTGCACTTGTGGTGAAAGAACAGAAGTGCCCAGGCCCAGAGAAGAGTACAGAGCGCCTTCCTGAGCTCACGGAGGTACCATGCCTTTTTTGGCTTTCTGGTTTGGAGAGATGAACTAAAATGGATGGAATCATTTGGGCTTTTTTGCAGGTTCTTTTTGTGTGCCCACCTGATATTAGCTAATGTACTGACCATGTTTAAAAGGGATCAGGGATTCTAGGTGCCTCTTCTAAAGTAAATTTTGTCTGCTATTCGTACCTTCTAATCACTTCGAATCAGGCCATTCTTGCCAATCCACTGACATCTGATTTGCAGGGAGCTAGCAAAACAAATGGATGCTTTTGCTCATTCCTTTATAAACTGCCTGATTACTTTCTGTGCATACCTTGGTAGATGCTACAATAGAAGAGACAAGGGCATTTTCCTTGTTTGTTAGTTCAGCTCAATCAAAAATAGAATTTATTTATTTTTGGTCCACAGATCAAAATCCATCTTCTACCAGCAATGAAACTAAACATTACTTAGACTTCTCTTTGCATCCATGACAGCTCTAACAGTGTGTATGATCAGATACAAAATACAGACTTCCTGACTGTCAACGTGGCCTCCAATACAGCCCACTATAATGTTCCCTTTCATTCCCATTCAGATATGTCTGGGAGAATTAGGTTAGTCTCGTGGTGACCTTTGGGACACCACAAATCTAGACTCTCTTGTAAACTAAAGGTGAGAAATGAGTTTGAGCCGAGAATGCTCTGCTATCAGCCCCATTCCAGTTAAACCGAGTGATGGTTAGCTGGCTGACTGAGGATCACAAGGGCCACAATATTGCATGGGGGACGGGTGGTTTTCTCTTTGAAACTTTACTTTTTTTTTATTGTCCTTTCTTCAGCTGTGCTCTGTCTGCTGACGTGCATGTTTTGTGTTTTTCTATTTCTGCATGATACCTATCTCTTATTCTGACTGAACTACACTGATTGACTGTGAAACATTTGCAATACTGGTTTTAGTGTTTATTGAATTCTCTCAAGCCTCTTAAACTCCCATTATCCCTTATAATCCTTAAGAAAATGACTGAACTTCCAAACCAGAGCCAGTGTAAACATATCCATGGTTCTGAGCTGGGGTAATCTGATAAATCAAAATGACTGAAGCGCCACTTAAAATAGCTTAAAAGTGTAACCATCCAAGTAAATAGCATGAAGTGCAGGCATCTGTGTGTAGTACCTTAGGCTTCATGTACAAACTTAACAGAAAAAGCTACCAAAGCTAACCATCCTCTGCTCTGAAACGAACACTGGTATCCTTGGCCTCCCAGTGTCACTGTATGGTCAAGCTCTTCCTCCTTTTAGCAGGCTTAATCCTCTACTGGATTTCCCTTAAATCCTTAGTGTGATGCACCAGTTGGCCTGCTCAACATACACCCTAGTTCAGGACTTTCTCACTAGTCACATTGTGGAATTGCTCATTTCAGGACATGGAAAGAGAAATCACTAATGCATTAGGCCATGGCCAGGAGGATGAGATCTTGAGCAGCGCCTTTAAATTAAAGGTCACCCGTGGGGATATCCAGACACTGAGGAACCATCACTGGCTCAACGATGAGGTAAAATTAATCCAATAGGAATGTTTGTGTTCTGCATGCATATATATTAAAATGTGCCCACAACTTTCTCTGACATTTAGCTGCTGACAGGTCTGATCCACACCTCAGTTCCTATAATTAATTTTCTGATCCACACCTCAGTTCCTATAGGAATATCCATAGAGTTCTGAAAGCTGGGCCTTTAAGAGGGAACAATATTCCTGAAAATCGCTCTCCCTGTATTATGCTGCTTTCAAGAGTTAGCAGCAACTTGGGATCAGATTTGACTTTGGGGAATGGGTGAAATAACAAGTGTTTTAAATGCAGGACTCAAAGGAAGGAAGTTAGTTCAGGAGTCTTAGAACTTGAGTTGACGTCAGTGTGGTCTTTTCAGACTGCAAATTCTGAAGAGTCCAGCAGATAAAGCTTAACTTTAACAGATAAATGAGTGTGTCTCCCCTTCATTCTCTGAACTCTACTCTCTCTATTATATAGGTAATCAATTTCTACATGAATCTTCTGGTGGAGAGAAATAAGCAGCAGGGATTTCCAGTGCTTCATGCTTTCAGTACTTTCTTCTACCCCAAATTAATTTCTGGGGGTTACCAGGCAGTAAAAAGATGGACCAAAGGTGTGGATCTCTTCAAGCAAGACCTCATCTTTGTGCCCATTCACCTGAGGGTACATTGGGGATTAGTGGTGAGTCAAATTGGCCCATCCTTGGAATTGGAAGGGAAAGGAAAACCTAGAAAAGGCTTTAGGTCTTGCTCCGTAGGCAGCAGGGAGTCTTTGGCTACGTCTGTTGCACCAATGTCTGTCTTTCAATAACAGGTAATAGATGTCAGAAGAAAGACTATCAAATACTTTGACTCGATGGGACAAAGAGGCCACAGTATCTGTGAGATTTTGCTGTAAGTAGATGCTTTAGTGAATCTATCATTGCGTTTCACACATACAGGAAGGATTTTTCCACAATCACTCTCTGGATAATGTGCTTTACGTAGCACAAGACTTACCCTTAAGGGACAAGAATCTCTTCCTGGACTAGTCACTGCCAGTAATGTGCAAATTGTAACATCATCCAGCTGCTAATTATATTCTGTCCTCCTGGGGACATTTGAGTATGTCTTATGAACGAACCATCATTGAGTGACCTGTTACAGCTCTGATGCCAATAGAAAGACACAATCCATTCCTCTTTCAGAATATTAACCTCAACACTCTTCATAGGACCAGAACTCCTTCCTAGGGGATATTGACATCCTCTATTACCAGTGAGAGATCCCTCTACTTTCTAGCTCTTCTGCCATTTTTTGCAGCTCTTAAGTAACCCACCAAATTGTATTGCACACATAATCCTCTTGTATGCTCTATTAGAGACATTGGAGTTAATTTTTATGTAAATAATAATCCTTTCAGTATGTTGAGTGAATGCTGTAGTTTGTTTGGCACTGACTCTTCTGTTGCACCAGTACTCACATTTCATGTTACATAAAATCACCCTGTACTGCCCACCTCTGTTGGAAATTGACTTCTGAGGAAAGGGTCTGTGTGACCTTGTGAATCACTACCAGTATCTCATGTGCCTCACTTTTTCTGGTAGTGCCCCATCTGAGACCGAGTCCAATATAACATGGCTTCAGCATTACCTGTGAAGTCTCTAACTTCTGATCTAAAATCTCTTAAGTAATGTGAATAGTTCCTAGGCACATGTGGGTTTACCTTCAGCATGGTATGATTATATCCTATAATCCTCCTTCCTAGTACTTCAGGTCTTTGGTGCATAATTAGTGAAGACCTTGTCAGGCAACTTTACAGACGATTGGCCTAAAATATGAAGACCTTTGATTAGAAAAGTCTGATACCTCTTTTTGTTTTGTTTCGTTGAACAGCCAATATCTGCAGGAAGAAAGCAAAACCAAGAGGAACCTAGATATTGATCCTTCAGAGTGGACACTTTACAGCATGAAATCACATGTATGTGAACAGTATTTGAGTCTGATCCATGTACTGTAGCCCAACACCACAAATGCCTTCAGGAGAAACAATTATAAGTTTTGAATGGCTGTTTGTGGGCTTTTTCTAATGCCCATAATACAGCAATCCAAACTGGACACCGGAATCAATGTTTTGATGGACTCTTTAGCAGTGTCTTTTATTTACTTGATTGGCCTGTCACTGCTTCTTTCCTGACTCAGTTTAGACATGAAAAATATGCTAGCAATCTGGAGTGGACTGGAGTCCTTGGAACATCCATCCAGCTTTCTTCCTTTGGTCCACTAAGTTAGTGCTGTGTCCAAGAAAAATATCTCAAACTCCATTATTTCTTAGTAGGGCGAAGGCCATGTTGAGATTAGCACTTGTGTCAGCAAAACTTTTATCGCTCAACTGTGTGTGTGTGTGTGTGTGGGGGGGGGGCGGGAGAACCCTCCCCGGAGTGACATAAGCTTTGCTGGCATAAGCTCTGGTGTGCACAGCACTGTCGGCGGGAGACGCTCTCCTGCTGACATAGCTACCGCCTTGCGTTGAGCTGGTTTTATTATGTCGACGGGAGAGCTCTCTTCCATCGGCATAATGCGGCTACATGAGCGCTCTGACCGCAGCACAGCTGTATCAGTACAGCTGTGCCGCTATAAGCTTGTAAGTGTAGACATGGCCTTTACCTTCATTCTTTTAAGGCGCATGCTGATGCATGAAAGATGTCAACAGTTCCTGTACAGGAACTATATACAGTAGTTGATCTTTTGTACATGTGCTCACTGTATTTCTTGGACTGCAGCTGTGAATCTGGCTTTGAGCTTTTGACGATATTACGGTATTGGGGTAGTAGTGCAAATTAAAAAAAAAAAATTTATGGTAGTTAGCTTTTTGTGCTATTTGAAAGGCTCGTCTTCCTTCTGCAAAGATGGTTTCAAATTACTGCTGTTGTCCATGCTTGACCTAGAATCTTCTAAAATAAATGTCTGTTCTGTTGTGTTCTCCAAATAGCTTTGTCTGTAGAGATCCTCCACCCCTCATTTTGTCACCATCTAGATTGGGTTTGGAGGAAGGGGAAAAAAAATCAAAGGTGCTGGAGGGGAGAGGGGCATAGCCTCACATAGAACATGCCCTGTTGTGAGCTGGAATTGCTCTTTCCCAGTTCTCAAAGCTTTCTAGGGGCTTTGGCACATTCAGTTCAGAGGAACTCTTAGGATGCCTGTGGAGCTGTGAACTCCAGCTGCAGGTGAATAGCTCCTGTTGCTTTGTGCTCAGGCAGTAGTAATTCATATAATAGATCCCACGCATTAGTCCTTCCCCTGGATAGTTGGAGTTGTCTTGCTCTGGGTCACTGGAGAACAAGCTGACATTGACCGTTCTGATTTGTAGCCAATACCTTGTTGGGAGGGAATTAAAGGTCAGAGCTAAATTCTCCCCACATGCAACTTCCACTACAACCAATGAGAGCTGTTCGTGCATCATCAAAGGCAAAACTTGTCCTTTAGTAGCTCTCATTGTACAGAATGGGAATTCCCTCAGTCACTTGCAGGAAGCACTAATTCAGGAGTGGGGGAATCTGTATTCTTTCTAGTATCAGGGGGTAGCCGTGTTAGTCTGTATCTACAAAAACAACAAGGAGTCTAGTGGCACCTTAAAGACTAACAGATTTATTTGGGCATAAGCTTTCGTGAGTAAAAACCTCACTCCTCCGAAGAAGTGAGGTTTTTACTCACGAAAGCTTATGCCCAAATAAATCTGTTAGTCTTTAAGGTGCCACCAGACTCCTTGTTGTTTTTGTATTCTTTCTAGTAAGCAATGTTAGTAGAGTTCAAAGCCCCACTGGGGCCTGGGGCCTATAGTACACACTTACGTAAGGACATCCTGGGCCGGGAAAGTGTGCATTCTAAAGATTTCACAGGTGAAGGACCGGGATGTTCCTTACCAGCAAATGGAACATGGTGCAGCTGTAGTTATGTGATTTGTGAGGAGGTGTTAAAGCTTATTTCCTGGATTGGAGGACACAAGTGGCTCATTAAAATGCTGCTGATACACAGTACTGAAGATAATGCATTGCATATCTTGTAAGAAAGGTACACTTAAAGCAAGGTGAAAGGACTAACATGCAACTTGCTCCCACTGCTCACTCGTAGGAAATTCCACAGCAGCTGAACGGAAGTGACTGCGGGATGTTTACCTGTAAATATGCAGACTATATCTCCAGAGACAAACCTATCACTTTCACTCAGGTGAGGAAAGCTCTACAAATTTTTTTTTCTCTCCTGCTGGTAATAGCTCACCTTAACAGATCACTCTCATTATAGTGTGTATGGTAACACCCATTGTTTCTGTGTGTGTGTGTGTGTGTGTGTGTGTGTCTTCCTACTGTATTTTCCACTGCATTCATCCGATGAAGTGAGTTTTAGCCCTCAAAAGCTTATGCTCAAATAAATTTGTTGGTCTCTAAGGTGCCACAAGTACTCCTGTTCTTTAAACTGACCTGTGGTGCCTCCAATCTCTGGGTATGTTTTCCCTGTCACCTGACTCCTCTAGTTAAATTGTAAGCTCATCTCTTGCTAGTTACACAACACCTACCCCCATGGGTCCTGGTCTTGGCTAGGGCCTCCAGGTGCTAGTACTGACAAGTGAGCCCTCCCAGCCCTGTGAGCTGCATTCCCTGCCTTTGCTTATGTCCATTTGCCAAGCATCATGTCTTAGTCCTCTGGTGCGGGGGGCTGGAGCTGTTTGTAGTAGTAGCCTTGACCTTAGTTATGGCATCTTCGAGGCTCCTTTCCAAATAGCTTTTTCACAAGTTAAAATACTGGCTGTTTTCAGCTGCACTGGGCTTTTCTTAAAGGACGTGCAAATTCTCAGTCATGACATTCATGTTTTTCATTAAAGTCAGCATTTGCCAGAGCATTGCATTTTCTGTCCCTTAGTGTAGGGCAAAGTTGTGGTATCAAATACCATTGCATGGGAACTGTGGCAAATGTTGAACACTGACTGTTATGGTCAGTGCCTACAGAATGTGGACAAATACGCTTATTCTGACCCCTTTTACTCTGGTTTAGTGTTTAATAGTCTTTTCTTTTTTTTTTTTTTTTTTTTACTTTTAGCACCACATGCCTCACTTCCGCAAAAAGATGGTATGGGAGATACTTCATCAACAGCTGCTGTGACCCCAGTCTGAGAGATACTCGCACAGTGATTCTATGATCCACCATATAGTGACAATTAGTTCTTAGCTAAACTAATTTGTTTGAATGCCTTATTTCAAAAGGCACCTGGGCTAACAGCTTCCTCTCTTCAGAGTAGGCTGTAAAGCAGTGGTTTTGTCTGCTCCAGAGAATTACATTTGTTTGGAATATGCTAATGCATCCTAACCGCAAAGCAAAGAGATCTCTGCAGCCTCTGAGTTGTGACTCCTAAGGGACTGGAGTGGGTGGTTAAGAACAGATCCCAAACAAACTGCATCAGTTCATGTCGCTGAAGACTGGCAACTTCTAGTGCTTCACTGCAGCC